GTCATTGCCTTTTGAAAAACTGTGTAAGAATGAGATACATGCTGGGAGCACGCACTTCATCAGCTTTACAAAATTCTCTCGCTCTTTCTCTCTCTCTCTCTCACACACACACACACACACACACACGCATAAACGCACAATTACAAAACACAGATTTAAACATGCACACATAAAATGAAATATACAGAAAATACAGTGTTTTACATTTTTACAAAGAAATAAAACCTAAAAGCTAGAAGCTAAATGTAAAAATAAGAGAATTTGTCTTCCATGTCCATTGTCCCAATATTAATTCTATCATCACATCTGTTTAAGCTCTAGCTGTATGGATAATGGTGGATAGATTAATGGGCTGTGCTGTTTGATATTTTACAGTAGTTGACTGTGTTTGGAATGGAATACTAACTTACTGCACAGTTTATGTATACTGCATACTATACTGCAAAACAGCATCCATTATGCTACAATAAATGCTTCAAACTGTAGTATGTTACATTGTTGCTACATTCAGGGAGTGACATTGAGTAATATCTTAATAAAATAATAAAAAAAAAGGTAAATCCACATTTTTTGTAGTTCCTTTACATACAATGTTTAGCTTTGCACTTCTTGTGATTGTATTTAAGCTTCAAAATTCATAAAAGTTGCGTTCATTTGTAAAGACTATCATGATGAACAAAACCTTTTGTAGATCACAGGTAGGACACACATCTTATTCTCTGCGATAATCCAAAATCCAATGGAAAAAAATCCAATTTGATTTTTGTCGAGGGAACCAGGGTAATGCTAACTTCCAGTTTGGCCTACAAAAATATGTCATCACTGCGGCACTCTATGGTACTGTAGGTTAAGTTCAAAGCATTGCATTGTGGGATACTGCATTCCACACAGCTCACTCTGGTTGTATGTTGAACATTTCTGCAAATGTAGTAGGCCATCCGGGTGTTCTATGCATACAGAAAATTCACAGCATACATACTATATACTGCAGAGATGCTAGTATTTTGTTCCAACGATAGCCAGTATCTTGCGCATGGACTGATGGGATCATAAGCACATAAAATACATGACGGCTGAGCAACAAACGCAGCGACACTCACACATCAATTAAGTTCACACACGCTACAAAAACCAGGCATATGGACAAAGGACATAGTCTTATTATAAAATAATGAAAAACGAAGAAACAACATGCAATTAAAGAAAACCATGCATGTTTTATCTATATCACCATTTTGGCTAATTGTTTTATTTATTTTGCCTTGACAAAATGAGTTATCGTATTGAAAGACAGATCTGCATATCTTTTCAAGGCGATGCAGTACATAAAAACTGTTCATTTGCATAAACTGATTTTTATTTGGTAATCTTTACCAGAAACCACTTTTGTAACAAGAATCACAATGTGAGATGCTGGCAAGCGAAGAGAGAGGGCATATCGGTAAATATGTTCGTAAGTAAACGTCATCACATTGCCTGGTCACCAGGTAGAGAACCACTTCACAGCGGGATGATAGCTGCCACACACAGAGACGCAAAGTAGGCAAGCAGAAAACAGGAACTCCAAAAGCCCTTCGTCTGCATAGTAAACAATCCAACCGCACAAGCGCTTCATTCAGAACTGCGACAGAACACAGGTGAAAGAGCAGCGCCACTGCAGGCCATGCTGGGAAGGATTTGTGTTCAATGAATGTTGTCAATGATAATTCCCACCCACACACTGGAGTTTACTGTGCGTCAGAAAACACTGTAATCCATTTATCTCAATGTTGATTATGCTTCACATGGACAAAACGATGCTGCAATGTACTCTAGCACAGATGTTTGTTGACTATTGAGAAGGCAGGTGGGTCCATTTGCGCTTTCGGAAATCCAATTTATTTCATTTCCACTTGATTTCAAATGAATCCCATTCATCCCATATGCTCAAGACACATTTATGTAGACAAAATGCCCCATTTTTCTCTAGTGCAGTTGTTCTCAAACTTCTTTATCCCAATCCATAACTTTGCCAGTAGGGATGGGCATTTTCCAAAAATTTTGCAATCGAATATTTGGGCTCATAAAATTCCTTTTTTTTGTCACGCTTTCTGAACAAACTTATGATTAGCCGTTACACAGCAATGTTCTACAACAATGTTACGTTATATCGCAAGGTTTTATTTTGGTTGAAAACGTGTAAACAAAAAAAAATACATAAAAAAAGCATTCAAGATCAAGCAGAGCAAACGGAAAAATCAAGCAGACTGTGCCATTACATATACTCGAGTTGGCCTATATTCATTGTGTTTACATTGTTTCACGTATAAATTCTGAGAGAAACAATAATATCCATATGCTCGGGTGAAAGTTTGTTCCTCAGTCTGATAACAATAAGGACGTGCTGACAAAGATAACGTTTGCTAACAGTTTCTTAGCGCTTTGTGTTAAACCACTCTCCCTCATGGAAACTTTATATATGTCTCAAGATCATTTGGCTATCAGATGCGCTGTCTTCTCGGCTCAATCAGAGTACAGCTGCGCTTACCTGCAGTCATGAATGCAGTAATGGACAGCTGTCTTTCCTCAGTCGACTGTTTGGATTTAATGTGATTTCTCATTGTGGTGGTGATATTATGATAAATCAGTTTCACTAATTCATTTGATCCGAAGTAATTACATTTTGTCAGATCATTTAGATCAAAGTAAATCCAAACTTTAATCAAACTGTGATCAAATACTATCAACTTGTTAACACGCTCCACAGCGCCACCCAGTGCATTTAGTTATAACTGCTTAGGATTTATCATGGATTCCCTGCATTTACGGCCAGCAAATCAACACATAGTAAAATTCGAATAGTGTTTTTATTGTTCGAATAATAATTACAGAACGAATATTCGAATGTTCGACTGCTTTCATAGCTACTTTTAGCTAATGAACCTAAATGAGACAACAGTTTAAGTAGCCAATCACTACAGTTTGAGAACTACTGCTCTAGTGTGTAAACGCACTCAGCAGGATGAAAGTATAGGATAATCAGAGGTCTCAGGTAGGGACTGAGAAGAGCCTCTTTGGTGCAGAGTACAGCTGCCAACTCCTGGCTCTAAAGGGCCACCCGGAAATCAGGTTTTGACGTCAAACACTGAATACGCTCCCTGGTTTGTCACAGCAATGAAAAGTGGGCAGCCCATGCATGGAGTCAATAAAGCTAGCCGTCCAAGGTAGCAGAACGGTTGTACATGAATGTCTGTGTTCACATATGTGCTGCAGTTGTGTATGTTGCAAAGATGCTTGTTTACCATTCTCAAGTCATTATGTGCTTTTGTGGGTAGTGCGTGTGGTTCTCCAGTGGGCATTTTTTTGTGTGTGTATTTATGGACAGGCATGGCTAAGGCCACTCATGGTGATAACGTTTGCCGTTCTTTTTCCGCTCTTTCTGCAAGTGCTCCAGTTCCGCCTCATACACCATCTCCTGCATCAGGTATTTCTCCCTGCGCATGCGATCACACAGGTCTTTGGGCATGTCTGGAATCATGTGGGCTATGAAGGTCTTGATGCCAAACACCAGGTGCTACGGAGAATATAACAGACAATCAGACAATGGGAAAATCATAAACATGAAATAATCTTAGATTGCATTGCAGTATTGAGAAGTAGCACAATTAGCCTTGTGTGAAGGAAGACCAGTGCCATCATGGTGCCATGACAATGAGCACTTCAGAATCTAAATAGTAATAGGTCATTTGGATATTTTTTGCATACTGTTTTAAGAATACTACCTATTTGGACATGCTACTAATTTTACTATTTTTCCAACATGAACATATTCTGGTGGTTCTTGGCCAGAATAAGTCATTTTGCCAAGAGTCAAAAAAGAGTCTGGCTCCTGCGATTAGGCTAGTGCTCTAGTGTAGCCGGTTCCTCTCGGACCACTGCAAGCAGGGCTTGTACAGACGATAGCCGGCATGGGAGTCAGGCATGTTAACAAGTACGCTAAAAACCACAGCCTCTTGTATCAGTGGTTAGTGCAGTGGTTCTTGAGGCCAGGACAGTGAAGTTTATTACCTGCACAATTGTCACATACCAGCTGGCCTCCGTTACACTCACTGTCCTAAATCTCACTCCCATCCGGGTCATGGCACCACTGTAACCTGTTCCTCCCAGGTCACTCCAAGTGGGGTCTGAACCAGTGATGGAAGTCAGGCACATTAACAAGGACTCTAACACCGTGTCTACCCCAGATGTGACAGCTGTCGTGTTGTGCCGGACAGCACCCCAACAGCTAAAGGATGTCTACACTGGAAGCGACAAAGCGTCTGTTTACTGTCTGGGACTTTTGACGCACTGCACCGTACTGCATCCTGTGTAGACAGCATCACTGATTATAAACGGCTCTATTGACTTATCGTGAAGTTTATTACCTGCACAATTGTCACATACCAGCTGGCCTCCGTTACACTCACTGTCCTAAATCTCACTCCCATCCGGGTCATGGCACCACTGTAACCTGTTCCTCCCAGGTCACTCCAAGTGGGGTCTGAACCAGTGATGGAAGTCAGGCACATTAACAAGGACTCTAACACCGTGTCTACCCCAAATGTGACAGCTGTCGTGTTGTGCCGGACAGCACCACAACAGCTAAAGGATGTCTACACTGGAAGCGACAAAGCGTCTGTTTACTGTCTGGGACTTTTGACGCACTGCACCGTACTGCATCCTGTGTAGACAGCATCACTGATTATAAACGGCTCTATTGACTTTTGTCAAATTATCTTGTCCCACTCGCGTCTGGTGTAAAGACTGAAGCCTCTAATGTCAGCACTAGTGCAGCTCCTGAGGCCAGGGAAGTGAGGTTTACCTGCATAGCCATCTTGTACCAGCTGGCCTCCATTACACTAGAACAGGGGTGTCCAAACTCGGCCCTGGAGGGTCGGTTTCCTGCAGAGGTTAGCTTAACACACCTGCCTGGAAGTTTCTAGCATGCCTAGTAAGACCTTGATTAGCTAATTGCTGCTTTCTTACTTCTCATGCCGGTAACCCTTGTCCACACAGGGCCCATATTTAAAAGCATAGACAAAGCGAGGGATGTAATCTGAAGTGATGGCAATGACGAAGGCATTTGTTATGACAGCCACAACTCCAATTCCCTCCAGGACACCATGCCAGATTCCTAATTATAAAAAAAAAAAAAAATTACTGATCTATCAAACCAAAATATACTGAAATTTACAAGGACAGATTATACATAAATCTATAAAATAATCTGCAACATTAAAGAACATTTAAGCATTGACATATCTTGTATATTGTGAATATTCATGCTATCATTCTATATTTACAACAAGCTGTAAATGTAATTACAACAAATGACTGTTGTGTTTCTTGCATTTAGATAGGAATAAACTGACACCAGGCTAATTGAGGGGAAAAGGACCAACCAATGTCAGTAGCGCGGGCAGGCATCGGTCTTCTCCACTGCGAGACAAACTTGTAGGCGTCTAATCGGATCTCGATGATGTTATTGAGCAGAGCAAGCAGAGGAGCCAGAGGAAACGCCGCCACAAAGATTGTAGTGAAACCAAACTGCAGAACTGTACAGAAAGCATATCAATCTTGCAGGCCATCTAGATCAGTCTAACAATTGCTAATTTAGAGCAGAAAACACTGACACAAAAATGCTTGTCCAATGCATTGCAAGCATGCTGTCCTGTTGAACATGCTTACTGTAACGTGTGTTTGTGTTAATGTGGTGGTAACAAAGAAATAACACATCTGATTTAATGTAACTGAAGGTTGCTGATAACTGCTAAGGTAGCTGTTGTCTAACTTAAACTATGTAACTTGGTTCTTCTTCACCATGACAGAAAATTACACACTTCACCAGATCTCACAATTAGAGCAGAACTAACCCATCTCCAGGTACTCGTCCACCAGGCCGTGTGCGTTCATGGGCTGCAGGTTCCAGTCTCTATCCCACTGCGGCAGCTGTTCTTTACTGTTATTCTGCTCTCCTGCTCGTTTCATCTTACGCCGGGACCACCAGTTCTGCAGCAGCCTGATGGAGGAACAGAAAAAAAATGACTTAAAAATTGTATTTGATAAGTTATAAAGAGTGATGGTTATGTCCGTATCTAAATAATCAAGCAACAGAGCAGTACATGTGTTTTACTATGTTAGTCAACACTATTTCTTTAAAGCACAACAAAAGAGTATTAAAAAGCAATTGTAACACCTCTGTAAATGGGTAGTTCTCTCTCTGATGGACCAGGCAATTAACCTCAGAAGAACAAGGCACGTGATGGGAGGCGGCGGCGGTGCTGAGTAAATATCAGAGGCAATCGGTAGGTTAACCACAATTTAAATTTTACTGTAAATGGTTTAGGGTTTGTTTCTTTTTTTTCTTCAGTAAGTACTTTTTTTTTCAAAACATAAAACAATAAAACACAGAAAACACAATAACCACACCCTTGGGTGCACCCGTTAATTAACTATACATTACACAATAAATCACCTTCACATTCAATCAAATTAAATGGCCACAGTTAGTGATAACCAACGGGTAACTGCAGTATGCAACTGGTATGCAAATTAGTCTTTCCAAGTCAGATGTCAATCTGAATAAAAGGTCTGATCAGTCTTTTCCTTTAACTGGAACTGGTGTCTCTCAAATTTTTAGTTCCCAAGGAGAAAAATAGTATCAGTCACTGGAAGCAAAATTCTCTTACTTGGTAGAAGAAAATTAAAATGAAAAACTGTCCTTTATTCCAGGTCCGTGATCCTTTCAGTCAAGATGGGAGGCTTGCCATCAATTATGGAAATCCACATGAAAGTTCATCCTCACAAGGGGAAAAAAAACCTGGCCTGTCCATTCTCGTCTGTTTTTTTCACAGGTATACGCAATCAAAATGGCGTCAGCAAACCGCAGAGACACGCACAGAACATGCGGCCTGACCCAATCACACAATTCCACGTGCAAGTTTTGTGGTGCAGGAGTATCACAAACACGCTGAATCATCTAACATCTTGTGTTTACGGGCTGTTTTGATCAGTTAATATGAAGCTTGAATTAATTAAAGATCGTATTTTTCTATTTTTACACTCTCTCGTCAGATCAGGTTTCTCTGTCGCTCTGTATCAGTCTACTAGCCTGCACACGCTAGCCACAGGCAAGTGGGCAGAGCCAACATCCTAACGCTCCGATTGGTTGCTTCTCATTTCTTAGTTCAATCCAAAAACACAAATATAAATATTTTTATCAATCTATGTAGATTTTCATTCATATGAATGGTCATTATATTGAATTCAAACAATGATGTATATAATAATATTCATCACAGCAATCATTTAAGAGGGGTTACACTTTCCCCCCCTGAAATCATGCAAGTCCCTTTTGAGTGGCTGATTAGTCACTACATTTGATGAAACATTGGGCACAATGGAAAGGGCACTTGAATTTTCAACACCACTGAGGGATTCAACAAGGGCAGTGTTTAACCCATGGAACAAAGACTACCACAAAAGACAGGGGGTTTCCGAGTTGGAAGTAGGTAAGTCTCTCAGGTTCCTCTCTCGGTCTGCTAGAACGTCTGAGCGGAATACTCAAATTCTGTTCTCCCTCAATTTCTGGCTGTTGCTCTCTCTCTTTGACAGGAGCATTCGGGATTTCAGCTATGTTTGTCACTTCATCTTCTCTTCGAATAGTTAAATTCTTTTCTGATTCAGTGGTGTTTTTGTTGGGTATTTTACTTGTTTCAAGGACTCCTGGAGCATCAACAGGTAAGTATGTATCTGGAGCATCGGCAGGTGAGTCGTCGACTGGATTTGCTTGTGCAGTATCACTGTCTGAAAGTTTTGGATTAGTTGAGTCTGTTTTCAAAGAAGTAGAAGTAGGTTTGGTCAAGGTAGGACTTGAATCTTTTGATGCTGGTAAGAATCCACAAGGAAGCAAAAGGTCCCTGTGAAGTGTACGAAGAGGACCATCCCTTGTTTCAGGCAAGTCGCCAGCTCGCTTTACTACTACATACACCTCGGACTCCCACTTGTCTGATAACTTGTGCTTACCACGCAACTGAACATTTCTCACCAATACGCGATCATTGACTTCCAATGAGGAATTTGTCACAAGCTTGTCAAACCTGATTTTGTTCCTCTCGGCACTCTTTAATGCTCTATGGGAGGCAAGCGAATAGCTTTCTTCCAGATGAGATTTTAGATGTCTGACATTCGGATTTTCTGAATGCCTGATGTTTCTCAAAGTTCTTTAATTGTGCGTGACTCGAAGTCGGGGCCCTGGTCACTATGAAGGCGTTCAGGAAACCCATAATACACAATGAAGTTCTCCCAAAGACACTTTGCTACTGTTCTTGCCTTTTGATTGGGAGTAGGGACTGCCACAGCATACTTAGTAAAAAAAATCTGTGATCACTAATATGTCTCTTGTGTTACTTCTGTCTGGTTCCAAGGAGAGAAAGTCCATGCAGACTAATTGTAATGGTCTGGTGGCCTGGATGTTGACCAAGGGTGCTGCTTTTTGAGGTGGGGTCTTCCTTCGCACACAACGACCACACGTCCTGATCTTCTGTTCCACGTCGGCAGCCATCTTTGGCCAATAGAATCGGGCTCTGACCAGATCCAAGGTCCTCTCCATCCGCATGTGACCCATACTATCATGTAAACTGCTCATCAAAGAGGATCGTAGTTCTTCCGGGAGCACTAGCTGGTAAGTGATGGAATCCTTATCTTTCCGTCTCCTGTAAAGTACTCCGTCCTTTAACTCAAGGCGGTTCCACTCCTTCAAAAAGCACGGAAGACCAGGAAGTTCCTTCCTTACTGTTGGTGGGGGGTTTTCTCCCAACTCCAAGTGTGACATCACCTCTCGAAGCACTGGATCGGCTCTTTGTTTGTCACCAAGGTCTTTTGAAAGGTGAGGTGTAATAGGTAACAATTCAGAGCTATCTTCTTGTTCATAACAGCATTGGAATGGAGTGCAAGGGAGCTTACAAGAGCAATGCCTGGTGCGGCATCAGCTGACTGCCTAACGAGGTGCTTCTCGCAGATAGCCTGGACTACATCATCCGTAGCACTGACAGAATCCTCTGCTTTGGTAAGATGATGCTGTATGACCTGTTCAATCCTTTCACATTCGTTTTGGGACATGGGGTTCGCTGGAAACGGCTCTTGAGGTCGCCTTGAAAGGCTATCAGCATCAACGTTCAGCTTACCCGCCCTATACTGCAACTTGAATGAAAAAGTGGAAAGGGCTGCAAGCCAACGATAACTAGTAGCATCCAATCTTGCAGTTGTAAGAACATGAGTAAGAGGGTTGCTATCAGTGATGACAGTGAATTGACTGCCATAAAGATAATCACTCAACTTTTCAGTTACTGCCCATTTAAGGGCAAGAAATTCAAGTTTGTGAGCGGGATACCTAGACTCACTGTGTGACAGCCCCCTACTCGCAAATGCAATAGCACGCATTTGCCCACCTTGCTCCTGATACAGTGCAGCCCCCAAAACTTTAGTGCTGGCATCCGTATGGAGGAAATAGGGGAGTTTGGGGTCTGCAAAACCCAGGATGGGTGCAGTAGTTAACTTTTCGATAATGGACTGAAAAGCTTCTTCACAAAGAGGAGTCCAACGGTCCCCAAAGGGCTCCTTAGGATGGTAGTATGGACCCTTTTTGTCTGTCTTTTTACCACCTTTCCTTAATGGTGGATAACCTGAGGTAAGATCATTGAGCAGCTTCACGATCCTTAAATAATCCTTAATAAACCGGCGATAGTAGCCGGAGAAGCCCAAAAATGACCTCAGTTCTCTAAGGTTCTTAGGACTCGGCCAGGTTTTTAAGGCTTGTATCTTTTCGGGGTCAGTCTCCACTCCACGCTCTGACACAATATGTCCTAGATAGCGAACGGAGGTTTGACAAAATTTACATTTCTCCGGAGACAGTTTCAATCCGTACTCTTTGAGGCGAGATAGAACATTCAACAGATGTCTCTCATGCTCCTCTAGAGTGTCCGAGAATATTATCAGGTCATCCAAAAAGACCTGTATTTCCCTCAGATTAATGTCCCCCATACACTTCTCCATCAATCTTTGAAAAGTACTAGGTGCATTGGTCACACCTTGGGGCATACGATTGAATTCCCAAAACCTCAATGGGCAGACAAAGGCAGTTTTGGGTTTATCCGACTCCTCAACTCATATTTGATAGTATCCTGACTTCAAATCAAGCACAGAAAACCATCGGGATCCCGTCAGAGCTGAGAAAGTCTCCTCAAGATTTGGTAGTGCATACGCATCTTTCACAGTCTGGAGGTTTAACTTTCTATAATCTATACACATCTCCATCCTTCTTTCTCACCACCACTATTGGTGAAGAGAAGGGTGACTGGGACTCTCAAATGACTCCACTGGCAAGCAGATCACGCAGATGCTTGCGGACGGCCTCAACATCTTGTGGGTGGATTGGCCATGCTCTGTGCTTAAAAGGAGTTTCATTATTCAACTGTATGCGATGTTTCACCTTTTGAGTGTGACCAGAGTCTAAGTCGTGCTGGCTGAAAACCTCTGGCATTTCTCTGAGTTTTTTAGTGATACAGTCCTTCCACTCTTGTGGTAATGGGGACTCACCAAAATTTAGAGTGAAATCAAGTTCCTTCACAGGTAAAGGCTCATCATCTGAAAGTGAGTTTGGTGGAAGGAGCAAAGACTCGACCACATGGAGCTCCGCTACTGTACACTTTGGTGGAATAGCTATATCATGTTCAGTTTCATTTGTAAGCACTACTGGTAAATGGTAAAGTGGTGCTTTTGGAAGCGTAATTAGGCATCGTTTAACAAACAACCCACCAGGCAAAGACAAGTTAGATGGATGCTCCACCACCACACACTTGTCAACCCCAGAGGGCACTGTAATGGAACCTTCCACAACTACAGTCTGTCCTGCAGCCATGACCTCAGGTACTTTGCCATTCAATCGTACATAGCCAAGAACACCACTCGTGTTTCGTTTCCGCCTTGTCTCCAGTGTGCTCAGAACCACTCTGTAACCAAATAAAGATGGTTGGTAAGTTGGGGAATTTGATTTTAAATTCTGCTCATAGAGAACATCCAATGTGTTTGTGCCTATTAAAACCATAGACTGATTGTGGGGTTTCACATCAGGGACTACAAAAGCTATGGTAGGCACCTGAACACTCACTCCCAGGAACTCCTCAGGAAACGTAATGTCTACTTTTATGTAACCCTCGTATGGAACTGAAAGACCATTGGCTCCTTCTACTTCCAAGATGTCATTGATGGAGTTTATAGGGTACACTGAGAGATGCTGCTCATAAAAGGACTTGGGTACTGTTGTAACTTGTGACCCAGTGTCCAATAAACAATGACATTTTGCACCTGCTACGCTGATTTCTGCAATGCATCTTGCACCAACTAACCCCTTTGGCAGACTAGAGCTTGACTTTCTAGAATAAGTACATTTGTTTGAGACTCGTTTTGCAGTGGGACAGTTTGATTCTGACTTAGCCCTCGTCTGTCCCACAACAAGGGCTGACTTTAGTTTAAATCAGGGTTGAGGCTGGGGTTCTGAGAGTCCCACAGAAGCTGCTTTTCCCTTAGGAGTTTTCGCTTTGTGGTCACAAGTGCAGGGTTAGGCTCAGAAGTGCAGGAAGATGCAACGTGGCCGTCCTCACCACAGGTAAAACAGTACCATGGTCTTGGTCTGCCTGTTGATTTTTTTATTAACTGGAGTCACACTCTCAGTACCAGCCGTTCCCGCCGCCTTCTTGTCCTGTTTTTGTACTACTTCTGGCAGTGGGGATTTCTTCTGGATCTTAGGTTTGGTCGTAAGATTGGCTAGTTGATGTTGGAGCTTAGCTATCTGTTTCTTGAGCTCCTGCATTTCAGTTGCAAGTGAAGCCATGTTTGAAGCTTCTTTTTGCTCCAATTCAGCAGAGACCCACGTTCTTTGAGAATGCATCAGAGCTCTCTGCTTAGAAGACCCAAGATGTTGCTTCATACGATTGACTTTCGCTGTATGTTTGTCTTCTTCTGTACGTAGCATTAACAGAAGCTGTGCAAAGGAAGGAGGACGGTTGCGCTTTTGCTCAAGCTGCAGTTCAGTAATCAAATCATTATCCCAGCACCCAACAAAACTGCTTGAGAAGATGTCTGTCTGCCTCTTCTGGAGAAATGCCACCTCTTTTGATAGTCATCCTCAAAGCTGTCTGCAATCTATAAAGGTAAGCGGATGGTTTCTCACCAGCGTCTTGCAGAGTATTCATAAACCTTGCGAGGAGTTCATCGTCGTCCTCTACAACACCAAAAGCCGAATCCAGCAACTGAAGGTAAGCTGAGGATGGAGCTTCAGGGCTTAGATGATTTATAACATCTACTGCGGGTGGCAAAAGACTGTCCACTATCTTCCTGGACACATGCAAATCAGATAAGCCAGGGTCCTTCAAGATAAGCTCAACACTGGAGCGCCAAGTATCATAATCAACTTCACTTCCAGGTCTAGGACATTTACCGGAGAATACCCTGAGCCGTGATTGTACAGGCCCTTGAGCAGCCAATTCACCACTCCTCACAACATGTTCAACGATGAGTTTCTGGACTTCAGGTGGATTGAACACCTGCTGAGAAGTATAGAGAGGTCGAGCATTTGATTTGATAGGTGTGTGCTGTGACAGCGATTCATCTATCTGACTTGGCTTAACCGCTGCTGCGCCAACGTTCTCGCAAGGAAGCGCTTGGGGTGGCTGTTCATCTGGATCATCATCTCCAGCCTCAAGATCAGAGGACACTGATGTGAGTTCGGTACTCATTTGAGATAGCATCTGGCTCAAAACTGCTTCGAAATTGGTTCCACTCAATTTAGCAATTTCTTTCAATCCTTCTAGGTAGGATTTAGTGACACTACTGCCCAATTGATGCATAAAGACGCTAGACAATGCCTTCACTTGGTAATTGATGCCTGGATCACTGGATAGTTGGTGAGTATAAGGCAGCTGTGGTTCTAGAGATTGCAAGGCTTGACCACTGTTATATTCAATTATAATGCTCTGGTAAAACTCTGACTTTGTGTCACTGATTAAAAAATGTTCTGGCAAAAGAACCATGCATTTTCAGGATGTCAATTAATTCCTCATCACACTCTGTGTTAGTCAAGCCACTAACTATTACAGAATTCGGAACTTTAATGCCCTCTGCCTCAATTATATTCATTATTTTTTTTTAAATTGTGACTATTAATACCCAACAACAGCACCACCTCTTGGCTGGCTCGCCACAATGTAACACCTCTGTAAAAGGGGAGTTCTCTCTCTGATGGACCAGGCAATTAACCTCAGAAGAACAAGGCACGGGATGGGAGGCGGCGGTGGTGCTGAGTAAATATCAGAGGCAATCAGTAGGTTAACCACAATTTAAATTTTACTGTAAATGGTTTAGGGTTGGTTTCTTTTTTTTCTTCAGTAAGTACTTTTTTTTCAAAACATAAAACAATAAAACACAGAAAACACAATAACCATACCCTTGGTTGCACCCGCTAATTAACTATACATTACACAATAAATCACTGTCACAAATCAAGCCTCCGTGGCTCCCTCCGATCCCCACCAGAGGGAACCCTCACCGGAGTACTAACTGTTCCTTAGGACTTCATTTCCCATCACCCCATGCCTGACATTGATTACATGCACAGGTGCTGATCATTACCATGACTATTTAGGCAGTGCCTACCTTACCCTCATTGCGAAGTCTTGTTTTTGCTACTGCTGACATTACTGAGCGTTTATACCTTGTTTGATTACCTGTTGCCTACCTGGATTGTTTAGACCTGTCTGATTGTTCGCTGCCCGCCTCTTTGATCTTGCTCTGTGTTTGGATTTACTCTCTCCTCTGTCTGCCGCCGGCCTCGACCCCTTTGCATGGACTCTGGTTACGATTCTGCCTTGCCTATGTTACCCTACGTACAGGAGCTCTCCACACAGAGACGATCCGTCTATTTGTTTTCCAATCCCCTCAGACACCCATTATCCTGGGACTGCCCTGGCTCGAGAAGCATAACCCGTGTGTTTCCTGGTCCAAGAAACAGATAACCCAGTGGTCTGACTCCTGCCGCCAACATTGTCTGAACCTGACTCCTCACGAGACTGAGAGCAACCCAATCGCTGCCCCCAAAATCCCCACGGAGTACCACGACTTAATTGAGGCGTTCAGCAAGGCCAAAGCATCTCAATTACCTCTCCATCGTTCAAGTGACTGTGCTATCAACCTTCTATCCGGTTCACATCCCCCCAAAGGCCGAGGATTACCTGTTGCCTACCTGGATTGTTTAGACCTGTCTGATTGTTCGCTGCCCGCCTCTTTGATCTTGCTCTGTGTTTGGATTTACTCTCTCCTCTGTCTGCCGCCGGCCTCGACCCCTTTGCATGAACTCTGGTTACGATTCTGCCTTGCCTACGTTACCCCTGTATGCTGTTGACTGAACTTTGCCCGTCTAATTGTTAATAAAGCTGCACATGGATCCCAACGTCACTGAATCGTCATTACAATCACCTTCACATTCAATCAAATTAAATGGCCACAGTTAGTGATAACCAACGGGTAACTGCAGTATGCAACTGGTATGCAAATTAGTCTTTCCAAGTCAGATGTCAATCTGAATAAAAGGTCTGATCAGTCTTTTCCTTTAACTGGAACTGGTGTCTCTCAAATTTTTAGTTCCCAAGGAGAAAAATAGTATCAGTCACTGGAAGCAAAATTCTCTTACTTGGTAGAAGACAATTTAAATGAAAAATTTTCCCATCTTTCAGTCAAGATGGGAGGCTCGCCATCAATTATGGAAATCTAAATGAAAGTTCATCCTCACAAGGGGAAAAAAAACCTGGCCTGTCCATTCTCTTCTGTTTTTTTCACAGGTATACGCAATCAAAATGGCGTCAGTAAACCGCAGAGACACGCACAGAACATGCGGCCTGACCCAATCACACAATTCCACATGCAAGTTTTGTGGTGCAGGAGTAACACAAACACGCTGAATCATCTAACATCTTGGGTTTACGGAGCTCCATGAAGTTATTCCAGATCTGTTTCAACACCATAATCACTCCCATCTGTAGGCACAAGTCAATCAGACAACCACTGGGATGACACTAAGAGAGAGAGAGAGAGAGAGAGAAAAAGCATAAATATTTTGGTTGCCCTTGTGAAACAGAAGTGCACTTTAGCACAGTTTAAAAAGAGTACTGATTATTTAAAAAAAATGTAAAAGAATGAACTTAAGTGCAAACTGAATGTAATGTTTTCTGACACTTAACTGCATGTTAATTGCAATTAAATGAAAATGTATTATGCAGTTTTGTATAGTCGAAATTTATATCAAATGCATTTAATATAATTTTAGTGTTTTATTTTTTAGTTGACACTAAAATAGGACTTAAATGCACCTCTATATTATGGTGATGGTAATGGTGAAGTTGCAATTTAGTTCATTTAAAATATAGGGCCCTATCATACACTCGGCGCAATGGCAAGGCACGACGCAAGTGTTTTTTGCTATTGAATAAAATATCAAAACAAATGTACTTTTATAAGCACAAAAAATGATTCAAGTTATTTAAAATGTACTTTAAAGTAAAACTTTTCATTTGGCAAGTGGACTTTTTAAAACTGTGTTAAAGTAAGTCATGAAAGTGTACTCTCTTTTTAATTACACTTAAGTGGCATTAAAATTATACTGTCTGCAAGTACAGTTCTTAAGTTAAGATTTCTACGTTTTAAAATTCAATACAATTAACCACACTTCTTTTTTCACAAGGGTGGTTTTGATTATATTACATGATCTAAAACAGTACACTAATGTTATGAGCAAGCACGGTTGCAATGATGAGGCAATTATGAGAGTGTTTGCACAGAATAATGACAATTTTTATTGAAATCTCATGGCAGTTGCGTAACCGAGGCAGATACTTGATCGTGCCGAAGGACAATAATAAAAATGTGAGAGGACTCATTAAGGCCTCATCTCACCCACCTCCTCCATCCTCCACCGGTTAAACAGCTTATTATAGTCACCCGGCCTGCCAGCAAACCTGCGGAATATACACACATCACAACAACACACGTGAAATTAGCTTTGAAATTCAATTAGCCAGGCTATTGTGGGGGAGGCGTTAGCGTTAGCGCCATAGAGTTCCTGTATGAGTTGATGGCAAACAGATCTCAAGTGGTATAATCTGGGCAAATGAAAGCAGCAACAGCAAGCAACCCAAGCACTGAATAATTCATCAACTAGGTCAAGAGTTGCTTACCTTCCTAAAAAGAAAGCTATGTAGAAGGTCGAGCTGTTGAGATTGACGAACTGGAAGAGAAACATCTTGAGGGCAAAGCTGTTTTCCCATTCTGATTCTGTCCGTGGGTGTTCTAGATCACAAGTGAACATGTTAAAATCATTAGGGAGCAAAGCACTGCATGGTACAGGCGTGAGGAAAGTTTCTCACAGCGTGAAGACTGCAAGAATTTCACCCTCAATCAATAGTGACCTTGACTGAATCAATACTTACCCAGGTTTGTAAGTAGGTAGGCCACTTTCTCATAGACCTGGTGGGTAAAAGGAATTTGACTCAGTACCATTATAGACTAGGCTGAAAATAGGAAATGAAAAACATTTTGCAAGCGATTTACAGACTATGCCATTAATGATGAATTTAATACATGGTTTATACAAATCTACAGGATGTTAGTACCCAAAAAATTGGGATCAGTACATTTATTTATTTATTTTTTTAAGAAATTAATCATTTCATTTAATAAGTATGCATGCATAGTGTAAATGTACAGTGTATAATTTATGTGTAGTGTAGTGTAATGTAAATAAATGTTACAAATTATTTCTATTTTAAAACAAGCTGCCCTTTTGAACTTTCTGTTTATCAAAGCATCCTAAAAAATGTATCACAGGTTCCATAAAAATATGAAGCATCACAATTGTTTTCAGCATTGATAATAATCAGAAATGTTTCTTGAGCAGCAAATCAGCATATCAGAGTGATTTCTGAAGGGTCATATGACACTGAAGACTGGAGTAATGATGCTGAAAATTCAGCACTGCATCACAGAAATAACAATATATTACAATAGAAAACTGTTAAATTGTAATAACATTTTTGAGCAGACTTGGTGAGCATCTTCTTTCAAAAAAAAAAAAGACCAACCCCACACTTTTGAAAGTTAATTTAAGTCGCTATATTTACATATATTAAGTTGCAATGTTAATTAGAGAAAGTAGCATTTCCATCCCTGTCTTCAGGAAAATAAAATCGTCACACTGGTGCCACATAGAAATGGAAATTAAGTTGTAACTGCTCGGGAAGTCACTCGTTTATTGAATTGAATTACTGACTTGCTGTTTTAAGGATGCAGATACAACACTGTAATAACATTAATGTTTGCTTACATTTTATGTCTGGGAGCGTCAGTATGTAATAGTAGTCAATCATTTCGATGATTTCATTTTGAGGCTCTGGCATTTCAGAATAACATCTGAGATGCTATGAAATTAGTAATGTAAAACAAAAAATAATAATAAATGCAAATTTCACATTACTTTTTTGCATAGCCATGGAACCACTTGGAGTAACAAAATATAACTATGCTGAAAAAAATGGGAATGTATTTTATTTAAAATCTGTATTATTATTATTATTACTGACAGTACCATCAAATATTCCTAATTGTACCATTCCAGGAGAGAGAGAAAATATCAGTTTACATATTCACAATGAGTTTTATTTTGCATTGAAGTATTTATTTTACTTTGTACTAATGTTTTTATTGCTTCAAAGTGTATTTTGCTTTCATTTAAGTTCTTGTGGCAAAGCCTTCCAAAAACTTGTTTCTCTTTTAGTGTGAAACGTCAGTGTAAAAAGTTTTGTGTAAAAGTTTTCCTTATTGTGCCTCTCTCTGGTGTGAAGAGGCCTTCGGGACTAGAGAAAAGACACTAACCACATTCAGAGACATGATGATCATGAAGTTGATGCAGACTCCAGTGCCTGAGGTGGCGAACTGCCAGTTCTTCTTCACAAACTCCCACTGAAAGGAAGCAAACTTCTCCATGGCAATGAGCCGGAACACCACCACGGCAAACACAGCTGTCAGGACCAGAGAGATCTGGAAGAAAGATGACGAGAGGTGAACAGGGTGGAATGTTTGAAATGGATGGATATATATTGGAATCTTGCAGAAGTTTCCCTTTACAACGTTAGACATAGTTTTGATATGCATTGCCTTTTAATTCAGGGCCACCAGAGGGAGACAGTTATTTATGGTAGTGCAGCTGTGTGCGCTAACTTTAATCAACTAAAAATCTAGTAATAATCAAAAAAAGTTCATTTTAATTTCAAATGTTCTTTGGAGCTACAAACAGGGTTCAGAACCGAGAATAAAGGAATGCTTTACAGAGTAATTACACAAATGAATATCGAGTAATATTAGTTATTTCATAACAGGCTACTGAGAGCATTACATTCAATAAGTACTGTTTTCTAAATATTGTCCATTCCTTCATCCGCAGAATTACCAAAATAATTGGGTAATGCTTAGTTTTACAGTACCCTTGTTACACGTTACATGTACTGTATTTACTATAGTAATAACACTAAACTATGAACAATAACAAGCAACTAAACAAAAACTAAGCTTTACACTAAGACTAATGTTAATTAGTTATTTCTACAAGGACTTCTTAAAATAAACCAGTGTTTGTGAAGTTGTCAAGAAACAAAAATAAATCTAATTGGAAATGAAACCAGAATTGTTGAATTCCATACAATTCTTGTCCCAATTTGCATGACGGGTAGTGATAATTCTGATCTGCTTGTTGTATCTTTGGGGATATTTTGAACACAGAATCCTACCATGAAAAAGATTCCTGAAACAGACACCATGAGTCGGCTGAGTTTGTCTGTGAAGGGCTGGAAGGGCTCTGGTTTCCCTGAGATGGGGTTTACTCTCTCCTTCCGGGAGTATTTGGCTTCAAACTGGGGCCGTAGCTCCTCCTTTTTTAAAAAACAAAACAAAACAACATCATATTACTCATGAAACAATTGGTTGAAGATATTTTTACAGATCTCATGAATGATTCTCATCACATACAGATGTTCAACCTCATCATCTGTTTGGTTGGACATGATGTCAATCCAGAGGCTGTTTACATGTACTGAATGAGTTAACATGAGAAACTTCAATGCCTCAACATGAGATATATTTATTAATACATTCCACAATATGACAGTTAAATATAGAAGAGACTGTATACAGCAGCAGTTCTCAAACTTTTCAAACCAATTATCATGCCAATCATCACCTAATCAGCACCACACTGTCAATGTAAGAACATAGGCTACATATTAGAAACACAAAAATATAATAGGACTGGCTCACTTAAAAATTAAAATTATGTCATTATTTACTCTGCCTATTGTCTTTCCAAACCAAAATATCATCCTTTCTTTCATAGAGCACAAAAGAAGATATTTTCAAGACTGTTCATGCTCCGCTTTTCCATACAATGAGAGCATATAGTGATCTGGCACTGCTAAGCTCTAAAATAGAAAAGAAGCACTATAAATGTAACATAAATATAGTTCATGCAAGTAGTGTGCTACATTCCAAGCCTTCTGAAGTAATTTAATAGGTTTATGTAAGGAACAGACCAAAAGTTATTACTCGCTTAAAAAAAAGAAAGAAAAAAGCCTTTTAGTTGTTTGTTCTTGTAGCTCTTCAATTTAACCATTAAGTAGTTAACCACGATAAGTAGTTAAAGACAGAACTTTCATTTTTGGGTGAACTGATTAGAAATTAGAAATAAAACATTTGGGGAAATAAATAAAAAAATCTATTTAAATAAATGTGTGTGGCATAAATATGCTGTTGTTCTGGTGCTAGTTTCCATTCCATTTCCACCACAGAAAAAATTCTGGTTCCACACTGGCCCTAAAATCTTGCTGGTCTGGAACCAGGAACAAATGACCAAATAAAACTTTAGATAAAGTTTTTCTAACAACAAAAGTTTAGCTGTACTACTGTGTTAACGTCTACACTAAGCACTAAGAATGATGATGTATTTTTGTAGGGCAACCTGGAAGTTAGCATCACCCTGGTTCCCTCAACAAAAAACACAAACCTTATTTCAGGCATTAACCAAAATCCCATTCAATAAAACCATTGACTTCAGAAAAAATTACTTGTTTACAGGTTTTGGTCTACAAAAATACATCATGCCTGCAGCACTTAGTGGAAAAGAGGTTTGTGTAACACTATTGGGTCATGAACCACAGTTTGAGAACCACTGTTATACAGAAATTAGCAACAGCAGAAATCTACAGGGCAACGAATGCAAACTGCAGACGTACAGCAAGTATGAGCCACATCTGATCGCTTTGATCTCTGGGTTATTTTGAGGTGTTCCCTCAAACGCATTTCACACAAAATATGCACAGTACACCAGTTCACCATCACTCTGCACATGCTGATGATATGCGGTTCACAAGAGCTGTTCACACTGAGATTTTATCATGGGAAGTTGTCAAGTGAATGTGAATGAGTGTACATTACTACGACTGGATGCCAAAATGTTATTGGTGTGCTGTGCAACTGGTCTTAGCTAGAAAATATGATTACAAATGAGATTCTGTTTTGACAACAAATAATACATAATATGAATAAAATGAACGATTATTAACTAAACACTCTTAGAATGCCGATTCACCACATGTACGCAAAGAAAAATACATTTTTGTTCACAGAGAAAGCATCAGCTCATTGGAAATACATGCCTATACCCAGAATTTTTGTAAAACAGCAAAAACTTACAATTACATAAAATTCACTGCAGTTTCCAGCTGAAATGAATACTAGTGGCAGTAAAACACCAACAGCTTTTATTCCTTTTCTTTCAAATTCTGATTACAGGGACAGATTATTGATTAATAAAGACTTATTTTCATATGGTTCCTTGCACGATATAATGTTATAAACTCATAACACTTTTACCATAGTGAATTATTTGTAAATTAATAAATTTTGATGTCTGCATCACATAACCAGCTCCATATGTATGGCTTTTCTGACATAGTAAACTTGCTTGATAGCTCACCTAGTGCAGCTGGAGCAGGATAAGGTTAGCTTACAGTTTAATATAGGTGGTCCTTTTTTTAATCAAATACGATAGAGGATTAACATTTTAGCGGCACTTACGATACATACAACAACCAATGTAGTAAAATGATCCCAGATTCACGTTCATCTTTTGGATAAAACTGAATGCGCTTTAAGTGCCACTCACTGGACATTTCACTTTGAATGTCTCGCAAATCTTTCAAGAAGGAATGTAATAACATTTTATAAAAAAGTTTTTCCAATGAGCCTGGGTTGCAGCAAAATTATCAACTCTTACGTCTTGCTGACATTTGACTAAAATCTCTACAGGAGATGGACACGCATAAAACGTAAACTTTTCTCAACCCAAGAACGGCACGCAACAACAGATGCTTTGTCAAAGCTAATCGCTGTCAGTGTGAACACCCTTGAGTCATATTCACATTAGGAGCAAGGCATGCACAACACAACATGATACGGTAGGAGGCACACTCACAGAACACACCATGACACAGGATTTACACTATAGGAAATACAACAGACAGCACATAGATTGGCCACACACCAGTTACAGTTGTTCATGAACTTAATGGTCATTTTAACAGGTTTCAAAAAATTATGATATTTCTAAAGGAACATAAAGCAACAAACAGGAAGGCAGGCTCACCTCCTCTTCCTCCCAGTCAATCAAATCCCAGTCGTAGGTTAGCTCCGCCCTTCTCCTCTTCCAGAACTCAAGGAATACCGTGGCTGTGACAGCACAGGAGGAAGTGGTAAGATGTGAACACAATATGAACAAGAGCTTTCAGATACAGTATGGTTCTATTCAAAGTTACTTGAGGTGACTAAGAAAGGTCATCTTAAGCCCAAATATACATATGTACATACAGGAAAACAAGCACTTTAACTATGCAAACTCAATTTCAGGCATCGTTAAGAACGCAAATCTCCTTGCTGAAAGGAACGGTGTTGTGAGCATTTGCATAATCTTCTTCTATTGTGAGTTTTTTTTTTTTAGGTCAATTACTGTCTATAACAACTGCTGAGGAAGTTTGTTGAATTTCAACACATTTATAGCCCATCTAATCCCATTTGTGACCAAAGGTTTGAAGGGTATAAAAGATGTTGTTGATGATTTTTTAAAGTGTGTGAATAGTCACAGGACCAGAGCCATTTTGTATTTGCCTCTTTGAAAGATGATGTCTGTGACTATGAAAAACCTGTTATAATATACAGTAGATACAACTCTCACATTTGGTTCTTATGACATTTAAAGCAATGGTTCTCAACCAGGGGTTCCAGGGCCCACTACGGGGCTGTGGCAAACTTCAAGGGGGTACCTAATAAGTACTAAAATTATTAAAATGATTTAAATGTACAGGTGCATCTCAATAAATTAAAATGTCCTGGAAAAGTTAATTTATTTCTGTAATTCAACTCAAATTGTGAAACTCGTGTATTAAATAAATGCAATGCACACGGACTGAAGTAGTTTGTGTTTGGTTCTTTTAATTGTGATGATTTTGGCTCACATTTAACAAAAACCCAAAAATCAAAAACCCAAAAATCTCAACAAATTAGAATACTTAATAAGACCAATAAAAAAAACATTTTTAGTGAATTGTTGGCCTTCTGGAAAGTATGTTAATTTACTGTACATGTACTCAATACTTGGTAGGGGCTCCTTTTGCTTGAATTACTGCCTCAATTCGCCGTGGCATGAAGATGATCAGTTTGTGGCACTACTGAGGTAGTATGGAAGCCCAGGTTTCTTTGACAGTGGCCTTCAGCTCATCTGCATTTTTTGGTCTATGATATAGAGAATCTATGGGGTTCAGGTCTGGTGAGTTTGCTGGCCAGTCAAGCACACCAACACCATGGTCATTTAACCAACTTTTGGTGCTTTTGGCAGTGTGGGCAGGTGCCAAATCCTGCTGGAAAATGAAATCAGCATCTTCAAAAAGCTGGTCAGCAGAAGAAAGCATGAAGTGCTCCAAAATTTCTT